ACCTAGAGGATCGGGACAGAGAAGAGGAAGTGGCGGCGGTACTTCTGTTTTGTTCATTCTTTCTGTTACGTCCCTCTCCCCTTTGCCGTTGTCCTCTCCCCTTCCGTCGCCATACCCCAGCCCTCAACTTTCCCGTTAAGAACCTAGCTAGCCAATCAGCTCTCTAGGGCCATCTATTTGCAGGAATACCGTTTTTGCTTGCCGGTACTTTATTCCCATAATTGTGGGCACGAATTGATAAGAGTAGTTTAAAACTATGAAACCTTGTAAAACAGGTAATTGTTCGACTTGTTCAAGCGACGAATTAAACACTGGTCATCAATAAACAATAAATTACATGCTCATTGTCTATAATCATTTTTAATGACAGTTTTCTAGCACAGAATCTGCATTTGGCCCTTATTATCAGCTTTTGAGCTTCTTAAACTCATGCTTTCGCAGTAGCCTTGTTTTCATGTCTATTTCTAAATAGTTTCTTGTAATTCTCACGTACTTTGTGCAAAAATTGAAATTCATTATTTGAAATGATTCTACAGTAACTGTTCAAGTTATAGGATCATTTATAGCCCTTTACTCTAAAAACTTACTAAAATGAAATAAAAAAATTAACATATCTATATTAAGATAGCAGACAACACCTGACATGTTTTCTGTATCGTTAAAGGTCTAAATTACAAGAAATGCGAATACTTTATTCTAGAAACCTTGCGGTATTTTTTGGAAACTGTCAAGAATAAAAGCTCAAATCTAGTAGAGTCACTCATCAAAAGTTCGTATTTTGTTTATTTAAATCATGGCAAAGAAATGCTTGGTAAGCAGGCGAATTGTAACAATTAAATCTTGTAAAGCTTTACCAAACATAAGGCTTCTGATCCAATTAAAAAAAGTCACTTTTCACTTAACTGGCTTTCTCTACAAGGTCACAAACTCACAACAAGCTGCTATTTTTGCAGCAGTAATTTTAGTCGCCTGTGGTGGGCTAAAGCTAATGTGGTAAACAGTAAATTACCGGTCATTTCTACATTTTAACTGTTGCCGGTACGACTGTGAATCCGTTGCGTGAATGCAAAATACCACTTCTAAATGCTTTTAATTCTTGGTCAAAGTAACTTTTAATAAAAAGCTCTAAAATTTCTTTTTGAGAAGGTTAACAGCATGAAGTGGTATGGCAGTCTAGTTAAGATACGTACAGCAAACCCGCTTCACAATGAAATATTATTGCTTTTTAATCAATCATAAGATTATATAACTACTAAGAAAAAAAGGAAACATCAGTTTATTAAGTTTAAACTCAAAGTAAAGAAATCCAGGCTCATATGAAATTTACAAAATATAGTATGTGGCAGTGGTCTTAAGGCAATAATCCAATAGCTTCCCAGATTCGGCAATTTAAACAGTATCCACTAAAGAAGACTTTTTACTTCGTTTTTAAATGAGTAAAACAAAAAGAATACGGTTTTTGATAAACTGGTGATGAACTCTCAAAGAAACACGAATTATCAAGAAGCAATTACAGAAGCCACCTGCCGATAAAGGCAAGAAGGTGAAGAGAAGCTTCACGTGGTCATGTGCAACGCATGTAGCACAAATACCCTGCTTCGAAAAGTTTTGAGCAAATATTGGAAATACTTTTGTGTGAGAACCTTGTTGTTTCCTCCCCATCGTGAAATTTTCGTTGCAAGCTTTTTCATGTTTTTAAACTTGACTTTCCTTGTGGTTATACGATTAACAAGTGAATCATGTTTACCTCGCAAGTCTTGATGATTAATATGATCAAAAACGCATTCTTTCCAACCGCCATTAATTTCGAAGATTTCTTTTCTTTAGCAATTTTTTTATCCCAGAAAGAATGCTTTTTAGCAGCTAAAATCCACCTGCAAATATCCTACATTTTAACCCAAAAGACCACCTTCAAGCTCATGGCCAGAAACCAAAAGAACTACCATCATGCCAAATGTATCACCTTATTCTCCAAAATTCTACGTAACCTTCATCGTTATTCACACCCTTTCAGTAGCCGACGAAGTCAACCATAGGGAAGTAAAATGAGCATCCCACCGCAAGAAGGACCCACAGCCTTCCCAAAGGCAATGGTTCTGCGTCACATGTTTACCATTTCTATGCACAAGTAACAAAGTAACTATTGATAACTCTTGGCAACTGTTAACATTATTAAAGTATTATTTCGAAAGAGCAAATGCCGCAGCCACAGCAACTGCTGTTTTTAAACCACAGTTTTTGCCACCTTACCGCATCCGTACTATTTTAAACAGGTAATATCCTGTCCGACTGAATGTATAAAGTCAAATGGGCGTTCGAGCGTTGGCAGTAAGAAACAAAAAGGAATGTGAAGCACCTACCAGTAATGCATATGATGCTTAGTAGAAACATTCAAGTATCCGCTGTACTGTTTGAACGAAACAGTTGGGGCGTGCGGCAAGTTTTCTATGAGATCTTCATACGAAGCGCACAAGAGTGTAGCAACTACGAAAACTTGGAAGACGACCATTACGAACTAATGAGTTAAAAGCTAGTGTTTAAGCTTTTATACTATTCAGTAAATTCTGGTCTTATCAGATAATTTTATATGTCTTTATTAGGAGAGCAGCCAGAAACATAACAGCTCAAACATCGCATTTTTTTCTCTTGATAAAAAGTAGAAGAACCCTGCAATGCCACTGCACTGTTTCACTTGCATATGGTAAAACTTTTTAGAACAGCATTCGTACTTTAGACTGGTGTGCACCAATTATATCGCTATTATTGGCAACACCACTACGCATAAAAGTTTAGCAAATAAAAGGTTCTTAGCCGCGTTGTAATTTGTGCTGGTAAGGGCTGTAAATTACTGCACTTTAACACTGAACATCCAGAAGTACGGTTTAGCCAAGGAATACCGCCAAAGTTCTCACATAAAATACTAAAAAAAAAGCAGGGTTCAGTTTAGTACGAAATGAAACCTCAACTTTTTTCTTTCAAAAAGATATTTTATATACTACGGTCCTGTCACAAGGGCCCCACTGACCCGGTTTATCTTCGTTTTGCCAACAGATGTATCACGAATTTTCGTTGTTCCACAACTATTTTTGCGAAAGGCCTGCCGCCAAATACGTTTTTTTGGAATTGCCTTGCTTTCCGGGCAGCCTTCTTGTATAGTTTTTGATTTTTTAAATCTTTGCTCTTCTAAATTTTCTGTGAAGCATTATGCAGGCGTTTCAAGCAGCAGCATCACATCTTTCTTTAACTCTTTCCATTGATTCGGAGAGGAATTGAGGACTAAATCTTACATTGAGTGCGTACCGTTTCCGTACCTCTTTGATTGTAGCAGTAGTGATAAACAGAATTTGCATAGAGAGATGGATGCAACAACTGCTCAGAGTCGATCACAGCCATCCGAAATCAAATGACTCCACTCAACTTAAGTGACTGTTAGACAATCGAGACATGGTTCCTGTATATTCCTCGCAGAATATGGTCCTCACATACGACACGGAAACGAACAACATTACCACTTACGATAAGCGAAGAGATCTAGACTGTTTAATGAGGACGTTTCGCGGTGGTGCGGACCGCTAACCCGCTAAGCAGTAGGCTTGGGATTTGCAACCTCCATGACTTCTTAGACGGGGATGAGAAAAGTTACAGTGCAGCCTCCTTTCAAAAACTAATTTAGAAAAAAAATCTGACTTCAAGTAAAACTAACGATCAATTTTGCGACTTAAGTTTAGCTGTCTTCACAATCTTGCTGATCACTTTTGTCAGAAACCTGGACGCAAAGATGGTTCTTTTTTGAATTAACATTTTTTACTCGGCACAACACTGAAAAGTCAGTCACGCCCGGCCCATCAGCAAGTGAGTCTTTTATGCAGCAAATACGGTAGAAGAGCACTGGTTTTTTGTCAAATGGATTGATCTTCTGCACTCTCCCAGTGTAGTAGTCTCCAAAAATAACCGATAAAACACATATAAGTTCGAACTGTTGTCCGTGTAGAGTGTGAATCACTGATATTATTATTCTGCTTTGCCTTAGTTACTTTATCAGTATTTCATTTCACTCTAGTTGTATAACTTAGATACTCGTTTAAACAAGGGGCTCCCAGAACTAAAACCGATGAATATTTATCTTGATGGTTCAGTAACAGTCTTAATGAGTAATGTTAAATGAAGAGATTAACTTTAACGAGAGTGAATTATATTCGGCTCCACAAGTGTTTTTCGCCGGGTGATTCTCAACTTCGCGTTACAGTGGTATTTCAGACTAACTGTTCTGGGCGTTTTATCGTCCAAATGCAGTATGCAGCCAACCAAAAGTTGCCCACAAGAAACAATGAGATTTGAGATCTGTACATCTGTTTTTTGCAATCTTCATTTGGTACAGACACTGAAGCCCCATCCAATGGGTCTAGGACTGAGACTAAGTGATGGGAGTAAACTTGCAGCAATTATTTTCGGTAGTGTAACGTAGACTTAAATTCCGAATACTGTACTCTTCAAAGTGCCTCTTCCTGTGTTTCGATACAACGTATACACTTCTAATAAAGTTGTATTAACACGCCCTGTGTAGAATATATCTGTGCTTCCCGGTGAATTTGTTCAGACTTTCTGGTTAGTGGCAATGCCATCATTCCGGACACGCGGACGGAAGAGCTGGCAGCCATATCTGATGAAGCATTACGGCCGTAATGATCGCTGTTTCCAAAATAGAAACACTTACAGTACAAATCACGATTTATAAATTAATGCGAAAACCGCGAAATAAAATTGGATTTTTGTCAAATCAAACTTGAGGCAGGAACTTAAAGATGTTGAGACATAACTTAGAAAATTCACTTTCTATTACTAGCTGTTAAAAGTTCATCCTACTCACTGTATTCGCAACCCCCTTTTGCAAAATAGTGAGAAAGATTTTAAAATCCAGTAAAATAGAACCTTTTAATTGTATAACGCGTTCCATTTATCATTTTTTGATAAAAACCTGTCCAACACGAAGTGCGTGACAACTAGGATTCTCCTAGCTTTACAGACCCAAAGTGTGACGAGGTTATGGCGCGTTGTATTTCAACAAACGTTCCAGTTTCTTCAGGATGTTCATTCTCACTCCGATATAGGCCTCCAACCCGTGAAATGCCCTGGAAGTGAGCTTGAGCTATCCAACTGTGCTTATGCAGTAAGAAGGGTCGGCGAATCTTTCGAGCCACTTGCCAGTTTCTTCTTCAGCCTGCGTTCCGCGTAATAATTAAGTGTTGCCTCAAAAGATTCTTCGTCCAGTAAGAGTATTGATTCCTCTGGGGTTGTCTGCGGTTATTAAAAAGCTCTATAAGTGCACTACTTACTTGCACTAGTCCAACTGTAGAAACTCCGTCATTTCCTAAGTTTACTGGCTTAAAAGGGGTTTCTGCATGTTACTGAGCTACATGTAAGACGGCGGTCACTAATTTCGAACATCTGCTTGGAAATTCTGTTCGGTGTTAAAACTACCGTGCTTAAACCTCGTAGAAATAGCTATATTACTCGTAACCCAATGAATTATAGAGACTCCAAAAGCTGTTAAACTCCGTAAAACTCCGAAGAATGTCTGACTCCTAACTAAACTTGTGAGGAAAAATTAAAAAAACCGCCTACCTCTCCCAACCACACTGGCGCGGCCAAATGTGCCCATCAGTAGTCTTCTAATGGCTATAGGCCCATCTACAAATGAACATCTTGAACAAAACAGAAAGGTTGTCGAATCTTAGAACCATTTTGAGTTTCAGTTCTAAACAGTTGAAATCATCTCAGCCGAGGCTTTTTGCGTCAAAAGGTTTTCCAGACTGAACTGGGAACAAAAAATTTTACAAGAACTAGTGGCATCAGACCGTAGTAACAAACCGTGTACAAAGGAGAGTTTGCTACTCCTGGCCCAATGAAGCCGTAAGCAACAAAGAGGTATGGGGGCTGTCGAGACGATGAATGTAATCTGGTTGAAAGGCGAATGGGGATTTTCTTCCTTGACGAAATTTTGACTGGCTAAAAATTTTTGAGAAACACTAACATATGGCCGTGAAGGCTCTATCGCTCGAAGATCGTTACGCTTTTTGGCAAACGCCCTGCGCACGAGGGTGGGGGCACTGGAACCTCGTGACGTAAAGTGGCTGATTAAGACGTTTTAAAGATGTCATGATACACTGTGTTCAATTGCAAAGTAGAGGCCACATATAGTTCAGGCTCTTGTTGCCCCATTTGCAATAACTCACAAGTTTGACTATTTAACAGCCGCCTCGAGCACAGTTAAGAGAAATTAATAAAGAATAATACTACTGCTCATAAAATGACAACAACCAGTATCTAGTCTACGCTTAGCACTGATCCGTAAATGTTGGACTGTACAGCCAGCTTACCTTCATCAACTACTCAGACCAACTAAATTCTTATCTGAAGCAAAAAAAAAATGACCGAAGAATAATTAGCTACTATTGCTAAAGGTGTGTTCTGCGGACCGGCATTGTAAAAATAACATCAACACTTGTTCGCAGTAACTAAAATGCAGCTGCACAATGATTTTCAACATACTTGAGAAAGCCTGCTCCGCAAAATAAAAATTTATGGTAATTAAAACGTTTATCTCTATGGAAAATAAAAAAAGAAAGAAAAATCTGCTTGTAAAACACCTGAAATGTTATAAGCTGAAGTCACCAGACATCAAATATGTAAGAGAAAATAGCCATCAGCACAATTAATATACACAGATGAAAAGCAATCCCAGACTGATGAAATCAATGTATTTTGCGATAAAGATGTAATAAAGTTTTAACAACAAACTTTGAACTACAAACTTTAGCAAAATTGCAGAAAAATTAAATAAAATCACAGATGCACTGGCGGTTTGGTCAAAAATAAAAATTGCTTAACTAGCACAGCACCAAAAACCACAAAGTTTTACTCCTCTATGAGATTTTTTCCGAAACATATTCACCCCAGCAAGCAGAGAAGCCGATACCCCTAGTAATCAGTCGCATAAATCATCATTTTTCAATCTTAGACCAAACCTTAAAAGAAAACCCCCCAAAGAAAAATTTCTATATATCAAATCAATTCTACAGTTACTTTCGGATCGTACATACAAAAAACTAAAATTCAACCTTAATGAGAGCAGAAATATTTAAGCATGGCTCCAAGAACTAACTTAAACAATGAAAAATGCAAGATTACGAAGCGAGATAACATATCTGAAAAAATAATGAGCAAAGGAACAGGGAAAGCTTCAAATTCGCTCTAAATAAAAAAATACCAAAGAAAAAAGCAGACTATAAACATTAGTAAACTGACAACCTTTCTATTAAGTGACCCTGCAATTTTTCATTGCCCATGAAAGTAGAAAAAGATCAACTGTAAAGATACCTGAGCTTAAATCCACAATGAGAATATTAGGTCAGGTGGAAGCTATAAATAAAACGTAAAGCAACCTCAAATCTTTGTTTAAAAACTTCATAAGAACTATAAGCAGGGATTTTGAGGTAATTATAACATGTCATGGCCGACGGTAACTCAGCATCATTGTCACTGTATGATCCAGATTTTTTGACAACAGTCAGGGGAGGATTTAAAGATCGAAATCCCCCAACAGGAAGCTTTGGAGAACCAGTAACAAACTGCAAGAATTTGCGCTGCTGAAATAACTTCTCATTCATAAATTCTAAACGCGAAAAGACAAGTAAAAGAAAGTCAAGAATAGTTTTCAACTGTAACAAACCTGTTCACGATTATACTCCGACAACATGCGTATTAACCAATGAATTTGATCGCTATCATGGCTGTAGCCGTGATCTGGCTTAATCGAAGTCTGTAATACAGGTTCACTCCAAGTACGTGACCAGTTCACATCAGAACATCCACAGAAAAGCTCTTCCATCTGAAAATTATATTTATAATGCCACTAATACAACGTATTGAAGTTACAATTCAAACCTCATCAGGAGTAAAACAGGTAAGGTCTCGGACATTGATCACGGTCTCAAACCCTCGACGAACAGCTTCCATCTCACGACGCACCCCCTCTACTAATTTCCAGTGCGAAACCAACTGGAAATAAATAAGATTCATATTGCATTTCAACGAGTAATAAATTAACAGAAGAAGCCAAGTAAAGACTGGCCTTTATATACTGCATGACGTTCGACTTTTCAACTGTACGATGCTTCCCACCCTTAATCAGTTCAAAGTTATCATCTCCGGGCAATGTAAACATCTGAAAAAAACAATTAATACTGGTTAAAAGCGGGACAGCGACATAAAAAAACCTAGGAAATGCTTTTTTTAGAGAAGTACAGCCGCATTCTCACATATGCCTGCGAACAATATGAATGAAAACAACGATAACCAACTTGATCTAACGATATGATTTCATCAGCAGTGGATGTGGCCAAAGCTCTTAAAGAATGATACAAATCCTTATCAAGAACTTCCAGATCGGCAAGACCAAATGAACGATCTTCGCCGCAAAACCATTTAAAGAATATAGGATTGAATGGTATATCCAACTTAAATTGAAAATTAAATCATTATTGAGAAAAAAAGCAATAAAGTTACTCCTCAGATTGCAAAACCATATTAAAAGTGCCGATTCCTCATAAAACAAACCATTCGAGCGTCAATTAGTGCCTGTGCCAAAAGTCTTCCTATAAATTCAAATTTCCTTAAACGTGCATCTCTTTGTTTGGCGTTTTGACTAGCGTGTACAGCTGGATATAAACCAGCTTC